TGTATCAGGCCCCGCTTTCAGACTAATAATTGTTAAATCTCCCTTTATTGGTTCGATCGACCGGAATCTTACAGGAACTTGCTCATATGTGCTTGATTTCTAAAGGAATTACAGGCATTGGCGGAGGCTTGTATCATTGTGACTCCAGTGGCCGGGTGAGTCGGCCCTTTTTTTGCATCGCATCGGCTCCACAGCCAAAATCAAATCGATTAACGTCTCGCCTGCCCGGCCCTTGTCTGTCTGCCTTCCCGATATGACGTGCGGCACAGTTGCTCTGCATGAGTTAATGTCTCGGGGAGCTGGAAAAATTGAACTAAACCTCCACAAAGCTCGGCGCTTAACATGTAGCTCAGCTATCCTGCTGATTCGAGACCATGCTGTAATCGACCGGTAGCGTGATACGTAAGCCGACATCGCGAATCTAGCGAGGCTTTTTGTTAGGTTCCTTCTGGTCATGGACTTCATTTGATCAGATACGGCCATGCTACCCTTGAGTCATGTGTTGAACCTGCAATCTGACCTCAGACGACATCCTTATGCCTAGGCCAATGAAGTGCCTTGACTCTACATCGACAGGAATCTTTGGTTCAATCAGAAATGAAGAGCAAGCGAACGAGATGACACATGGATGGAAAATGGCGGTGGCCGATTGGCGCCCCGTCGCCAATGCATGCCATCCAAAGAGGAGACCCCAATACGTGATCATGCTATGTAACGCTATGTAACGTTATGTTAATCTACACGTTTGCAACTTGTATTACACTATAGCACTGTACTGTACTGTCAGTCCACACCACCAAGACTGACGGCCGTTCGATCGACAAGCAAGCCCAGATCGATCAATATTAAAATGTACGAGTACTCGAAGAAGACCAGGACTAATGAGAATCAATATAGACGCGGCCACTTCTTCCCTTTAGCAGTAGTCCGGACCTTGTCTAGTGCCTCCACAACACCCACCTTTACCCGACCAGCCCCCTCCCCGAATCCCCATCCATCATCAACGCCCCCGTCCACTTTCCCTGTTCCCCCCCTCTTCCCCTCCACCGCATAACACAACCCTTCAGGGGGGGAGGAGAAGGTGGAAGAAGGAGGCTACGGGAAGGCACGCATCCAGGTAAGCTTACTTCCGTACCTTAAACAGGCTGAAGAACCTGCCTGGCTCACTAACCACTTTGAATCGGCTGAGTCAGTGCTTCTTGCTCATCACCTCGAGCTTCATCGCACGTTCGTGATGACTGACCCTCTTCCCACTGCCCTGGCTCCAAGGATTGACGGGCCTCTACCGCAAAAACTTGCCACATTTCCGCACTCGCTAGGAAGCCAATTGCCTCACTTGCAAGGATCCTTGTCAACCCACCCTACCCAGCAAAGCAGAAACCCCTCAACTGGACGGAAATTGCTCAAGGCTTGCCTACTAATGCCCAACTATCACACCTCTACCAGACTGTCGGGTCCGTTGGTGCCATTTCTTTCGCTGCTAGTCTCAGCCGGTGCTGCGCTGCCCCCTCCCCCTCACCGGATCCAATTCTTGGGCCGCGCGTGAACACAGAGGCAGCTGAGAGATTCTCACTTCGGGTTCGAGGGAAGGGCTATCACATTTTCCCATCCCCTTCCTTGCTATCCGGCTGTTCGAAGCTCCCTTGGTGATCAGGCAGCCCGGACCTCATGGGGGTACGTACAGCCGTCACCGCGATTGTGGGACGGGGGGACGGGGGGGATGGGGTTACGGCGCACCCACGGAGGCTTACTTGTAACCGGGGTCCAGTGGATTAGATGGGGCTGAGAGTCAGTCGTGCAGATGCCACCTCTTAAACTTGCTTGTCTAACTTAGCCTGCCGGCTAAGTTAGTGTGCTCACGTCGCCCTTTGCACCTGAGACGCAAACACCACAAAAAGTCGACATGGCAGCAGCATGGAGACAGACGGAGGACTTCCGCTGTGGTTCCTATTTCAGATAACACCCACCACCACCACCACCACCACCACCACCGAGTCACGATGAAAACCATGGACGGACGGTCGATGAAGCCAGCCGTCTCAATAGATTAACATCCAATGCCGTCAAGTTACTTTCTCTTCGAGTCCGTTACCACTTCGGTTGCGATCATCAGGCTTTCAGACCGAACGACCCACTGGAAGAGGGGGACAAAGAAATTAACGTAACACCTCTTTATTCCTCATCGTCGGCGATCTCCGCACGGTATCCACTCCAATGATAGCTTGGTGTTGGGTCCGTCCCTCGACCGGATCTCGGCCTGCCTGATCCGCGCCTTGTTACAGTCTAATTTTTTTTGGTTGACTTGAATGGTGCCGCTATGTGGTCGGTCACTCGTTCCCTGACCCTGTGGTTCCGGTCTTTTTCAACTTGAGAAAGTTTTGATTTCCAGTATAACCAACGTTGCTAGAAGTCACGGTCAATCGTCATCATCACTAATACCACCAGGCTACAGTGTTACTACGCCTATCATCTTCTCATCACTGCCACTCCCTCCGGGGTGGAGCCTCGTTTCAAACTTGCACTGACTAACGCCGGCAGACGTGCGTGAAAACTAGCCTGCATTTACCTCATCTGGCAGGACTGAATAGATTGCCCCTTAGTCCAACCTAGGGCGACTACAGTACATTAGTGAGTCCTGACTAAGAATGCGATGGTTGACAGACGAGCAAGACGAGCAAGCCAATCAGTATGGTGATCTCCCTCGTTGGAGCCGGCTAGCCTCCGCAGACGCCTAGACTGACAGGACTGCCTATTATTCAACAATGCATGAGCGCAACGCAAACGACGCTGCATCCCTACACCTATCCAGTAAGGCTGGTTAGTAGCAGATCAAGCTGCGCGCCAGTCAGATCCATGTGGACTTTGGCCCCGAGATTCGAGCCTTTCTTTCCCTGACTCCAATTCCCCGAATCCGATTCCCCAACGTGTTAGTTTCGAATCGCAGTATCCGGGCGAGATGCCACAAACTCAGCATAGTCGATAGAAAAGAAGAACAACAAACCCAACTGCTTGGCGTGCGCAAACTTTTCTTCCTTTGGTTTGCCTGTCGAGTGAGTGTTGGAGAACCCATGCCTAGAACAAGCTATCCTAGTTAGAAACAGGATGGGCCCAGGTGGGGGGGGCGGAAATAAGTGAAAAGGTTCTTTTGGTGGCCGACTCCAGTTATGGCCGAGTCAGGTAGAGCTAACCGAGGACAACGACCGAGCGGTTAAGTCACGGTTCGTGAGTGAGTGACCTTACCAGGGAAGTGACGGGAGTGACGGGAGTGACGGGCCTCCACTTTGGCTGGCAGTTGTTGCCAGGTATGAGTAGTACCGTTCAACACCTTCGCCAGCCAGCCAGCTAGCCCACTTGGACCGGGAGTCGGACTTGAATGACCTCCTTGGGATAGAGATTGATTCCCTTGTCATTGAGTGAGTGACATTGCTGGCGATAGCCATTTGCTTCCAACATTAACCCTTATAAACCCTCAAGGAAGGATATTCGAGTACAAAACGACAGTACAGTACATCTCATCACCTCACCAATTCAAAGCCTGTACGTACTGGAAGCACCACCGCAGAAGAAAACTTTTTGTCTCTTCCAGTAGTTAGAGTTTAGTTTAGTTTCCTGTATTAGGCTATCAGGCTATCAGGCTATCAGCGCATTTACCTATCTTCCACTCACTCTTTGTACTGCCCCCCAAATCTAGGAATCTAAGTCCGCCGCAATCGCCGCCATCACCGCCGGTCGGATCTCGGACCAAACGCACGCCCCAAAAAAAAAAAGAGGGGGGGGAAGATTTTGCGAGAGCACGCACTTTTTGAGTGTCACTCGTACCCCGTACAGTACATACTCAACTTGGTAGGACTTACTCTGTAAGGTACAGTTTTCAACCAGCCCGGGGCACGGTAGAATTGGTGTCTATATTACTCCGTGGGCCAGATTTCGCCGAGGTCGGGGGTATGGTTGTGGGCGTGGGTAGGTATCCGGGGAGGGGAACCTGCTGAGCCGAATCTCGTTAAGCTCACTCACGTGCTTGCTGTGCTGTGCTGTGCTGTGTTGACTTGGGCTTTTGCTGGGTTGACGTGACGTGACGTGACGTGACGTTAGCTTAGCTTAGCTTAGCTGACTTTACGGAATACTCAGGCAAGTCCGTTCCGGAAACGCCTAGCTACCTAAACCTAAACCCATCTCCGTTCTGGTCGGCGGTGTGTAGTATGTAGTATACCAAGTACTGTACAGTACGTATGCTGTAGACAAAGTAATTCGAACTTAGTATAGCTTGGTAATCGCAGGCACTGGTAGTCTGGGTGTTGTTTCTGTTTAGTATGCACTACGCTAGGCCCGTTCTCGAGAGTTGATTCCGGCGGGCGTGTATACAATTCCGAGGTTTTCGGGGTAGAGTCTCGGAGCTTGGAGCTTGGGGAGGAAGAGTTTGAAAGGGGGGGGGGGGGGGGTTAATCCGACGGTTGGGTGGTAACTATTGTGGTTTTGTCGGTTACTGTACGCCGTATAGAATACGTATACGTGCTCTGTAATGGGTCGGGTATGGTAATATCGAGGGGATTATATGTGCTGCGCTGTAATGGTTAGGTATGTGTATCATCGCTTATGAGGTTTGGTTGGTTTGAGCCACGGCGTA